AAAAAAAAAAACTTAATTCATATTCAATTCATACTCTAAATATAACTCAACTTTAATTCAACCACATACACTATCCTCGATATAAATAATATCAATAATCATTTTTACACATCACGTCAATTTTAATTATTTTAACTAATCATTACTTTACATCTTCTCTCTCGTACTTTTACATCAAATTGACTCTAATTATTTTATTTTAAATATTATTTTAATATGAACTCAAAATATCATTAATAATTAGTTATACACCTTTTTCAAACTTAATCATACTTAACGAAAAAAAACACGTTTTGAGCTGATATATTTGTTCCAAACACACCTTAATTAGTATTTATCACTATTTCTCTCTTGACAACTTTCTTTATTTTTTAAAATATTTATCATTATACATTTTTTCACTTGACAACTTGTTTTGCGATTGTACAACGGGCACCCATTTATTGTTGGAAACCATTCGTTACATGGGATAAGATTTGTCTTGCTAGCATTGATTAACCTTTTGAGGGGAAATAATTTATTTGTATTTAGGGTAATTATCAACTAATAAATCACATAATCCGCATAAGAATAATATTAAAAGAGTAAAATTTTGAACCAAATTAATATCTCCAATGCATCAATTTAATAATAAATTATTTGTTTAGGTGGACCAATTATACTAATTCACTGCAAGAATAACTAAAAATTAAATTAAATATAAAGTGAAATTGATGAGTCATAATGTTTAACATGGTGTTAGATATTAAAAAGGGAAGATGCTATAGTGCCTTTACGAAACCATTCGGTCGAGGTTTGTAAATCGATAGATCAATTATTTCTGACGGTTACATGATAATCTAACGGTTACAAACTCCGACGAAATGATTACGTAACGGGACTTTAGCATTTCCCATTAAAAAATGGGTTCAACATTGTTAACATTAAATGTCATCTACGTCGTGAAAAAACTAATGACAAGATGCATTGATGAATAAACTAGTAACAAACTTTCAAAAGTTGATGATATGAATAATTTTTTACAATGTCAAAAGTCACATTGGAAATGTGCCAGCTTCCTGCTCACCACAGATATTTTTGAACATCAATGGTTCTAAATTAATACAAATTTCTGTATTAGTCGGTCTAACCGTTAGACGAATCAATCAGTCATATGTTTTCAATAAAAATGCGTAGATATAATATGAAACATCTTACGTTTGTTTGTATTATTTTCTAGAGCATAACATTTCATTAAGTTTGAATGTATGCATATTGTTAAAAAAAATAAAAATAAAAATATGATTGTCTAATAGTTAAGTATGCTTATAGTAGTCTTACCGTCAAATTAGAGCATTATTTTGTAGCAAAAAAGATACTGAACCGTTAGACAACTATATCTTCGTACAAAATGTCATATAACAAATGAAAATAATAATAATAGTACGACGTCATTACGCATTAAAATATATAATTTTATGCTAACAGGTCGACCCGCCTAACAATAACTATCTCGCACCAGAATTTGTGTATATTATTGTATATGCCATTTCATTGGAAAACATTTGGTCTGGGCCATATAGAGGATGATATTCCAGTAAATTTCACCTAATTAAGCCTCAATCAATAACTATGTTCCAAAACATTTTGAAATTTGGAAAGCAACAAATGAATCATGATACACATAAGGACAACACTGGCTGGCAACTTCAGCATGACAGGAGTCCATTTATTCAATATTTATTCATTTATTTTTATTGCAATTATGGTAATTATATGTGAATATTATATCATATGTATATATATA